TGATGGGTCTAACCGTGGGACAGGATGTTCCAGGAAATTCTCAGGGATTTGTTCTCTGTGTAATATGAGACCTTCCTGTTGTTCGTGTCCGGGAAGTCTTACTCAGTTGCTCGGAGGATTCTGAGCGAGCAGACATGCTTTTTGTACAGTGTACAGAGATGAATAAAGTAGAGATGACATAGTCTACTTTCTGACTGTTTTCTTTCTCCTGCTGCTATGCAAGGGGGAAGGGGGGGTGCACTTTTCATCAGGGAGGTGTCGCCTATCAAGAACTCCCTGGTCTGCCGGGATGCCAGCCAGGGTAGACCACCGGCAACAGGCCCCGAAGAGCCTGGGAAGAGGAGCCAGCCTTTCCCGAGGGGGCCAGTTTCCAACACTCCTCCCCCCCAACACATCTACATAATAATATCCCTACCAATGCCTAACCGCCACTCAAGCAAAGCTCGCTGCCAATACCCTCAAACCTGCAACCAATCCCTGATCCCCGTGAGTATGTCAACAAGCCACATATTGTTACCCGCATCAGAAAGATGCACGCCATCCCTGCAGTAGAGGGCCTCCCTGTTAAACTGGATGCCGGGGTGGTCAATGACCCCCCCCCCCCAGTACCGCCACTCTATGAGCCACTGAGCACTCCAGGATCTTCCTGGCTTTATTTACAGCTTTGGGGCTTTTGCAATCTCTCCAAGTGCGCCTTTAAAGCAGTGATGACCAAATTATCATTAGATTGGGGAAGGCAGCCCGCAGTTCCTCAAAATCACTGAAAATATTCCACATTAAGTCCACGCCCTTCCGATAGGCCAGGTCGTTTTCGCCCAGCTGGATGACCAATGCCTCAGGGGGACCTTCCAGGGCAGCTTTGGCCTTTATTGCAGGTAGGAATTCAGACCATCGCATTCCGTGGTGCATGATCCAGGATAATTCAATGTTCTTTGGAAGCTGTAAGCCGCATCCCCAGCCCCTGGCGATGGCTCGGATTCTGGCCCAATGCACAATGCTATGGCCTATGATCCAAAGGCGCACCACCCCGACACCTAAAAGGGGAAAGAGCATACAAAGAGGGGACAGGGATGATGGGGGCGATGGGGATCCTCATAGCGGTTTGCGGATGTACCCTGTATAAGTGTTGGACTTCCAATGACCAAAATCCTTTATCCTTTCTGCCGTCAAGCCTAGGTGTACCGCTGTGGTAGCTGCACCAATGTGGAATGAGTGAGCAGCATATTCCTCTGCAGGGAGCCCAATAGCAGCAATTGCTTTACGCATAACCCGCGTAAACTGGTGTTTTGAGAGGCGGGAGCCATCAGCATGAATGAAAAAGGGGCCAGGGGTGTTTGGTCTTAAATATAAGTATCTTCTTGCATCTTTTACGGGGCAAGGACCGTTTTTTTGGGTAGCTAGCAGCCAAATTAGCGCCCCTCTCCCAAGCTGGTCGGTTTTAGAACTACAGATTTTAGGAATCAGGTCTGAGCGGGATAAGGTCACATCCTCTAGGAAAATCCCCCTTGTACTTGAATCTGGTAGGTCCTCGCAGACCACCTCGCCTATGCGTAGGGCACCATAGAAGGCGAATGAATAAGCTGCTGAAAATAGGCGGGCCTCATACTTTGGCCAGCAGATGGCCGTGAGTTTCTTATGTATTTGGCAGAGTATGTTGAATGTTATGGGCCTTCTGCTATCGGTGCTGGGGGGCTGCAGTCTGCGCCACCCTTCTAAAGCTTTCCGCACTACAAAGTCCGCACAGGGGTTGACTGAGAACATAGCTTTGCAAAAGAATGATATCGCTGCAGACTGAATATTGAGGGTCTTGGCAGCGCGCCCCAACTCTCGCAGGTGCACGAGGTATTTTAAAACCTCTGCCTTAGTCGGGAGATTGGCCGGCCTATCCACCCCCATTTTGCGACGGAATGCTGAGAAGTCTGACCAAGCCTTTTTATAAGATCTTAGGGTTGAAGGGGCAACTGATGCCAATACTCCCTTTAGCACTTCTCGTTCCCAAGGCTCCAAGGCTGCTCCGGAAATGGCTGAGGCAATTGCTGCACATTCGGTGCCAACGAGCGGAAGCGATCCATCTGAAATCGAGATAGCGCATCTGCGATGCTGTTATTAACTCCTGGCACAAATTTGGCAGAAACATACATATTTAGCTGAAGGCAAAAAAGTACAAAGGACCACAGTAGAGCAGCCACCCTAGGGGAACGCGAAGATTGCTTAGTCAAGACTGAGACCACTGACTGGTTATCCGTCCAGAAGCAAACCCGATGGTCTCTGAAGTGTTCCGCCCATAGATGAACTGCAACTACAATGGGAAAAAAATCTAAAAAGGTTAAATAATCACGCAATATAGGTTTACCCTGCCACGTTGAGGGCTACCACTGCATGCACCACTGTCCCCTAAAGTAGACACCAAACCCCAAGGAACCTGAGTGTCTGAGTGAACCTGAAAATCGGCCTGCAGTGTCATGCTAACTTGCCAAAGAGAAATGCCATTATATTCTTCCAAAAATTCTAGCCAGACCCCAAGATCTGCTTTGACTGCCTTAGATAGACGCACCCTATGGTGTGGCGTTCTTAAACCTGCTGACAATCTCGCCAGACGCCCGCAAAAAGGGCGGCCTGGGGAAACTACCCGACAGGCGAAGTTAAGGTGACCTAGGAGAGATTGGATCTGCTTGAGGGTAACCTTCTTAAGGGGCAATAGTTGCGTAATAAGTTCTTTCAGTGCGTTAAACTTATCCCCAGTGAGGCGAGATGTTTGTGCAACTGTGTCAAGCTCAATGCTCAGGTAGGTCATGGTAGTGACTGGACCTTCCATTTTATCGTTCGCCAAAGGGACGCCCAGGTCCTCGGCCAAGGACATGATGGCCTGTAAGAGCGCTACGCAATCGTTTGCATTATTTCCAACGAGAATAAAGTCATCCAAATAATGCCCCACCCCCTTAGCACCTGTTTTAAATCTAAGCGCCCAATCCAGGAATGTACTAAAGATCTTGAAGGCCGCACAAGCAATTGAGCATCCCATGGGCATGGCTTTATCTATGAAATAAGCCCCTTCAAATTTAAAACCCAACCAGCGGAAATCTTGGGGGTGGACTGGCAGAAGGAGAAAGGCAGACTCGATGTCACATTTGGCCAGGAAGGCACCCCTACCAAAACTGCGAACAAGCTTTACCACTTGATCGAAGGATGCATATTTCACTGAGCACAGTTTCTGGGGAATAGCATCGTTAACTGAGGTACCCTTTGGGTAAGAGAGGTTATGAATCCTCCGGAATTCCCCAGGGACCTTTTTGGGCACGATACCTAGTGGTGAAATGTGTAGGTCTTCCAGGGGGGGTTCCGAAAATGGTCCAGCTACCCTCCCCGCCAAAATTTCCTTCTGTATCATTTTCATGGTAATGTCGGGCCTATCTTTTACTGATTTTTGATTAGGAGGGTTACCTGAATTAGGTGTGAATGTGACCGGAATTCAAAAACCATGGGAAAACCCTTCCCAAAGGAGAAGGCCGGCTTGCCTATTAGGATATGAATCTAGGAGTCTTTTTAAGGGTTGTAGTTTGATAGGTGAGTAGGCTAAGGTAAGAGACAAATTAGTAGTGATTGCCTGTTGCGCCCTGGGAGGGTCCGGGGGCACCTCGGTTTCCCTGATGGAGGGGACCCCTGCCGCCCTGAAAGGGCTGCTTACCTTTATAGCAAGCCGTTGCTGGATGGCTACCCAGACACTTTTCACATCGTGTAAGTACTTACACGATGGGTGCAGGCAAGATCCCCGGTTATACTCCCAACACTGTTTAGGGCATTTTGCTTCAACCTTACTGGACTTAGCGGGGTCCTGCGTTTTCTTCTCCACGTAAGGACCCACGTGCTCCATCCAATAGTTCTGGTCCCTCAGGTCCCAGCGGGTGGTCAGCAGCAAGGAGACGTTCCTACGGAAATCCTCATCATACGTTAGAGCGGCTGCCTCCCCAACCAATTCACAGGCCCTTCTAATGTGCGCCATGTAGGCCGCCAAATGCATCCCGCGTTTGGGGTAACATGCTGAAACCACTCCCATGAAGACCTGGAACCCCTCCAGCCAGTTCTCAAAGGTGCACTCCGCCCGGGGTGACCTATACCTTCTCTTACCGTAAGACCACCTCCTTTCCCCTTTCCCTGACATTTTAGCTGGTGGGAGCAAAGTTGTTGTTGTTGTTTCGTCGTTTAGTCGTGTCCAACTCTTCGTGACCCCATGGACCAGAGCACGCCAGGCACTCCTGTCTTCCACTGTCTCCCACAGTTTGGTCAGACTCATGTTTGTAGCTTCGAGAACACTGTCCAACCATCTCGTCCTCTGTTGTCCCCTTCTCCTTGTGCCCTCAATCTTTCCCAACATCAGGGTCTTTTCCAGGGAGTCTTCTCTTCTCATGAGGTGGCCAAAGTATTGGAGCCTCAGCTTCACGATCTGTCCTTCCAGTGAGCACTCAGGGCTAATTTCCTTAAGAATGGATAGGTTTGATCTTCTTGCAGTCCATGGGACTCTCAGGAGTCTCCTCCAGCACCATAATTCAAAAGCATCAATTCTTCGGCGATCAGCCTTCTTTATGGTCCAGCTCTCACTTCCATACATCACTACTGGGAAAACCATGGCTTTTACTATACGGACCTTTGTTGGCAAGGTGATGTCTCTGCTTTTTAAGATGCTGTCTAGGTTTGCCATCGCCTTTCTCCCAAGGAGCAGGCGTCTTTTAATTTCGTGACTGCTGTCACCATCTGCAGTGATCATGGAACCCAAGAAAGTAAAATCTCTCGCTGCCTCCATTTCTTCCCCTTCTATTTGCCAGGAGGTGATGGGCCATGATCTTCGTTTTTCGAGCAAAGTAAACATGTCTATATAGTCTCCATTGAGTATCTTAGTCCTTTTTCTATTAGAAAGGTGATTTCCTAAGATGAAGTCGGTAGACACGTTAGTGGAAGTTTTAACATCTTCCACTAGTGCACCACCCTTCCATTCCAGGGTCCCATTAAAGGTTTTTTTGGTGTGAATTGGCCCTCCTCTCGTGCACCCAAAGTGGGATCCCAGCAATATTCTCCCCCTCTCCCCAGTAGCTTTCCATGGGGGCGTCGCTATCATATTCTGATGAAGAGGTACCTGTTTCATCCTCGGAATCTGACGGCTCGCTTCTCTTACTCTTCCTAGCAACGTGCTTTCTCTTAGCTTTTCTCTTTCCTCCCTGGGTTCCGCTGACCTCTGGGGCTGGGTCAGTGGATGTTGGTGTTGACTGCTGAAGAAGTACCTCTTCCGAGGAAGAACCCGAGGCGCCCTCCAAAGGCATAGGCTGGGATGGTGTTTCCTGAAATATACTAGGTATATCAATTACCTGCTGGTTAGAAGTAGGGCGAACAGGCCTTGTTGATTTGGCGCTGGCCCCCAGAACGCTGGTTTTTGTGGCACCGGATTTTGACTTCTGAGCACGCGAAGACTGGGAACGTGTTTGGGGCCGGTTGCCGGACCCACCCCCAGGTTGCATCGCACTGGGGGCCGAGGTTGAAGGACCTGCGCAGACCTGCTCACTGGGAAGGGTGTCCGGGATGCAATTCTGGGAGGCCGCCACAGGAGTGGAAGTATTGGCAGCCACTGGCCTGCATTGTAAATAAAAGGTTTCAATCGCTGAAAAGAACTGAGCTATGGCTTGAGGGTTGCAAGGCATGGCGGGGTTTTGAGAACCACCCTGCCCCGCATTGGGTGCCTGAGAGTTGCCCCTGTTAGCCATAATAAAAGGAAATTTGGAAGCAAAAACAAATCACAACTGGGGAGCAAAGCAGATCACAATGTGAACCAAGAAAATGAGTGCGCTACAAAAATGTGGAAGCTGGTAATTGCACCGGAAATGCCCAGCCACCTGTGAGAAGACCAACTGAACCAGCCTTCGAATGATCCCTAATAATTAAGCATTTTAAATTAAAGGTATTTACTCTAAGCTAAGCCCAAAGGATAGCGCAACACAAATGAGCCGAATGAATTATGAGCCTTAAATAATACCTATGCACTGTGGACTTTGCCAATAAATTATTAAGAAGCCCCACTGATTTACAGACTATTTCATAAATTATTCACTGTGAGGATTATGTACTGTAAAATAAGCCCAAATGAATTATTGAGTACCTTGAGTAACCTTATGAATTATTGATTAACTAGGGCAACCTTATGAACTGCAGATATCAGATTGCACCACAGAGCTAAATCCCCTGTACCAACAGCGTAACAAAGATGATAAATCCAATGCACTTTGCCTATGAATTACAAAATATGCACCTTAATTATGAGTAAATGCGCTTATTATGAGTCACAATTTAATATGTACTTTAAACAAGCCCCAATGAATTAAGGATGAAGCCTCTTAACTAAAGATGTTAAATCCAATGCACTTTGCCTATGAATTACAAAATATGCACCTTAATTATGAGTAAATGCGCTTATTATGAGTCACAATTTAATATGTACTTTAAACAAGCCCCAATGAATTAAGAGTGAAGCCTCTTAACTTAGAACACCTTCAGAGCAGACTGTAATGCAACGTTTTTACTGAGAGTGATCCCTATTGCAGCCCAACAGTAACTATGTAATATTAGTCAATAACCGGCACAGCTACAAATCAATGCCCAAGTAACTCCCATGGGAATCGGAAGCTCTGCAGGCACAATGCTGGCAACACTGTAAAATGTATCCATAATAGACACAGAGTAACCTGGAAAGCGGATACGATGTAGCCCTTACGTGTCAGGGAAGAGTTAGAAGTTTCCAGTTTCTCAGAGGGAGAAAGCATTCACCAAGGGGGGAAGGAGAGCAGTGAATCTAACAGAAGAGAGCAAGAGGAACAACAGGGAGGGACTGGCTGTTCACAGGAAAGGCAAGGGTTAAGTTCTAGCTCAGATTCGGAGGAGGGGAGATACAAGCCAGCTCTAGCCAGGAGGTTAGAAAAAAGAGCGGGAAAGCGAAGGGAAGGGCGCCTTCGCCATTTTGAGAGTGGCTGGTCATGGAGAAGCAGAGCTCAGAAGGTATCTGAAATAAGTGACTCTGAGGAATAGTAGTTAAGAACCGTTTATAAGAATGTTTTGTTAATACGCAATAAAAAGTTTTATAAAAGAACAAGAAGTGTTTGTGTGGTGATCTGAAGAGGACAACGACCAGTCCTGACAGAATACCTTCTGCTCTGTGCCTCTTCACTATAAGTAAAGAAGGAGAAACCAAAATGGATGGAGCTGTGGCACCAGTTGGGCAAGGAGAAACCCCAGCACTCCAGCTAACATTACAGGACTTATGGCAACAGAACTTACAGTTGAAAAGTCAAGTCAATATACTATCGGCAGCACTGGGAGAACATAGAACCATGCTGCAAGCGACGTGTGGAGATAGAGTGAGTAAAACATTTACTGTATGTCCACGTAGCTTCAAGGGAGAAAGCTCTGAATACATGGCTTTCAAGACAGAAATTTCCTACATAATTGAGATAAAGGATAAAGAATTTCAATCTGAGCAAGAGAAGGTTGCTTATGTGATTAATTTCTTGGAAGGGAGGGCTAAGGACTGTGTTATACCCCTAATATCTCGCAGGGATGCTGCCCTAGGAAATTTTTCTGCAGTATCTAGACACGATTTTCTTAGAACCTGCGCATGAAATAACCACAGCTAGGCAGCTGTTGAGAATGAGACAAGGAAAAGACACTGTGGGAGTTTATTGGTCCAACTTTAGTTTGCTGGTGCAGAAATTAAAATGGGATCTGAATTCCCCAACAGTTGCAGCCCTTTTTAGGGAAGGACTGAATAATGAGATTTTAGACCAATTGGCCCAAATGCCAGAACCTAGTTCCTTGGACTCTCTGGTCCGAACGTGCCTGCAATTGAGCCTACGCGTGGAACGGAGGGCTAGTGAAAAGAAGGAACAATGGCGACCACGGTGGTGGGAAAAGAATATTATCGAAAGTACAGAGAGCAGAGCGGGCAACGTGCCAGGACGAGAGCGGCCAGAGCCCATGGAATTAGGAGCAGCCAGACCCCTCCCAGTTACTACCTCTTCCATGGTAAGAGGAAATGCAGGGAAAGGAAGAGACACAAGGCGTTGCTTTGTCTGTGGAAAACCAGGGCATCTAGCACGCCAATGTCACAATCGTAAAGGATGGGAGTCTCTATCTGGAGCAGACATGAGAGAAGACAATTGCCCGAAGGAACTGCATCAGGGAAACGAATGTCCCCGGCTGGAAATGGGAGCTTGCAGCCGGGTGGAGAAGCAATAGAAGGCTCTCACGCGGAACCACCTATTCCAGGAATAACGGTGAAGGTGCAACTACAACTACCCAATGGACACAGCGTCCAGGTAGAGGCGTTGTTAGACTCAGGAGCGTCAGCAGATTTCATAGACCAGAAATTGGTACAGGAACACAAAATCGCTTTGTTACCTTTGAGTTTCCCACTGCGAGTGAAAACAATCGACGGCAGACCGCTACTTTCAGGAGAAGTGACTTATGAGACTCCACCAATGAGAATGGATATGGGTCATCACTCAGAGACCAGGGCATTTCATGTGACCAAACTAGCTGGGCACCCGATGGTGCTGGGCATGAGTTGGCTCAATTGTCATAATCCAGTGATTGCCTGGCATCAAAGGTCTTTGGTTTTTGGTTCGATATATTGTATGACACATTGTTTGGGGCAAAAGGGAAAAATCTCGGTGGAAGTAATGGGAACAGAGGTAGAAGGGAAGTTGATGGGGAATGAAAGTGAGATTCCATCACAATATATGGCTTATCAGGATGTTTTTGTGAAAAAGAAGCGGATAAACTTCCACCACATAGGCCCTATGATTGCAAGATAGATCTAGTCCCTGGGGCACAGTTGCCACCAAGCAAGATATATGCCATGTCGGAAGTAGAATCTGCAGCATTGAGGGAGTTCCTGCAAAAGAATTTGCAGAGAGGTTTTATTAGAGAGTCCACGGCCTCTGGGGTGCTCCCGTCTTTTTGTCAAAAGAAAGGGGAGGAAGGGGCACCAAGATTAGTATGTGACTTCAGAATCCTTAACAGTCAAATGAAGCCTCGCGTGTGCCCACTGCCACGTATAGATGACCTCTTAGAGAGTAAGGTCAGCCAAAGTCTTTACCAAGCTTGATCTATGAGGAGCATATAATCTGATAAGGGTCAGAGAAGGGGATGAGTGGAAAACCAGTTTTTGTACTAAGTATGGTGCATTTGAATTCTTGGTAATGCCTTTTGGCTTGCAAAATGGCTCAGGGGTATTTCAAACCTTCATCAATCACGTCTTAGCAGGTATACTGGATCAGTTCTGTGTCTCTTATTTAGATGACCTCTTAATATATAGTGAAAGTATGGAGGAACACGTAAAACATGTCACACAGGTGTTAGAGAGATTGAGGACCAACAGGTTATATGTGAAGTTAGAGAAGTGTAAGTTCCACACACAAAAGGTGGAGTTCCTGGGATATTGCATTTCCCACAAAGGGGTGCACATGGACCCCAGTAAAGTTCAGGCAGTGGTGGAATGGGAGGCACCTAAAACTAAGAAAGATCTACAGAGGTTTTTAGGATTTGCTAATTTCTATCGTAAATTCATAGGTAATTACTCCAAAATCACAACGCCACTGACTGATTGTCTAAGAGGCAAGGGGCCATTCAGATGGTCTGAGGAAGCACAGAAGGCCTTTGATAAATTAAAGGTGGTGTTTGCTTCAGAAAAATATCTTATGCACCTAGATCCAAGTAAGCGTATAAAGGTAGAAACTGATGCCTCTGATAGGGCTATTGGGGCCATTCTGCTGCAACAGGACAAGGAAGGGGACTGGAGACCCTGTGCATTCTACTCTAGAAAATTAAATCAATCAGAACAAAACTACACCATATTTGATAAGGAACTTTTAGCTGTGCATGCTGCCTTTAAAGTGTGGAGACATTTTTTGGAAGGGGCGTCACATCAGGTGGTGGTACAAACAGATCATAAGAATTTAGAGTATTGGAGAACTGCTAGACAGCTAAACCAAAGGCAAATTAGGTGGGCAGAGTTTTTTGCTGGGTTTAATTTTAGGATTGAGTACATACCTGGGCATCAAAACGTTCGTGCAGACGCGCTATCGCGCAAACCTGAGTATATGGAAGGGGAAGCACCTCCCAAGTTGCGAGAAATGCTGAGATCGGATCAGTGGGGGTGTGCAGCCGTAGTAGTGGACGGCAGGGAATTCCAGCGATTGACAGTAACAGATGAGTTTGCACAAAAGAAAATGGAGGAACTGAGAAAAGGTAGAGGGGAAGAGGAAGGTTTCAAAGAAAAAGATGGATTGTTGTACAGGAGAGGGGTGCTGTATGTACCTGCAGGTGAATTAAGAGGTAAAGTGTTGAGGCAACATCATGATAACCCGACTGCAGGACATTTTGGTAGAGAAAAGACCCTGTATCAGATCACACGGCAGTTCTGGTGGCCAAAGTTGAGGGAGGAAGTAACACAATATGTAAGAGGTTGTGAAGTATGTCAACGAGCCAAGGCACCCAGAGCAGCTCCCACAGGGTTGTTGCAACCTATGCCCACGCCGGGAAGGCCTTGGGATGTGGTGTCTATGGATTTTATAACGGATCTACCACTTTGTGGTGGTTGACATGCTAACCAAGATGGCACATTTCATACCATGTACCAAAATTCCGACCGCACAGGAAACTGCAAAGATGTTTTTAGATAATATTTTTAGGTTGCATGGTATGCCATCACAAATCATTTCAGATAGAGGGGCCCAATTTACATCACAATTTTGGAGGAGGTTAATGCAGTTACTAGATGTGGAGCTAAGCCTCACGTCGGCGAGACACCCGCAAACCAATGGGGAAGCTGAAAGAACGAATGCAACACTACAACAATATCTGAGGTGTTATGCTGGTTATCAGCAGAGCGGGTGGTTAGAGAAGTTGAGTCTAGCAGAGTTTGCGTATAATAATGCAATGCATGTGTCTACGGGCAGAGCCCCATTTGTGGCAAACTATGGCTTGCACCCAAGGGCATTCCCAGGTCAAGAGGAGCAGTTAGCAGTACCAGCAGCAGAACAAATGATAGAGGAGTTGAGGTGCATTCATGAGATATTGAAAGAGGATTTGGAAGAAGCTAAAGAGGCTTACAAGAGAGCTGCAGACAGGCACCAGCGAGTTGGGGAAGAAATCCAAGTAGGGAGCTGGGTATGGCTGTCTACCAAGGGACTACCAATACGAGGGAGGTGTAAAAAGCTAGAACCAAGGAGATTGGGACCTTTCCAAGTAAAGGCTCAAATTAACCCAGTCGCTTTCAAGCTTCATTTGCCTGAAAATATGAGAATACACCCTGTATTTCATAGATCTTTATTGTCAGTGTTTGTACCAGCGCATAAGTATCAAAGTTCAAGGGAACCACCTCCTTTTCCCACCATGATGGGGGAAGAGGAGACCGAAGTGGAAGAGATATTAGACTCGAGAATAAGTAGGAGGAAATTACAGTATTTGGTTGCATGGAAAGGGTTAGATGAGTCTGAGAACTCATGGGAACCAGCAGAAAAAATTAACGTTCCAGAATTGCAGAGAGAATTTCATAGAAAATATCCCCACAAGCCAAAACCCCATAACTGGCATCTTCAAGAAATTTTTGAAGAGACAGATAGCGAGGAAGAGGAGTTCATAGGGTTTGGTCCTTCAGAAGCAGAGGAGAGCGAGGAGGAGGGAGGGGGTGATGTCAGGGAAGAGTTAGAAGTTTCCAGTTTCTCAGAGGGAGAAAGCATTCGCCAAGGGGGGAAGGAGAGCAGTGAATCTAACAGAAGAGAGCAAGAGGAACAACAGGGAGGGACCGGCTGTTCACAGGAAAGGCAAGGGTTAAGTTCTAGCTCAGATTCGGAGGAGGGGAGATACAGGCCAGCTCTAGCCAGGAGGTTAGGAAAAGAGCGGAAAGCAAGGGAAGGGCGCCTTCGCCATTTTGAGAGTGGCTGGTCATGGAGAAGCAGAGCTCAGAAGGTATCTGAAATAAGTGACTCTGAGGAATAATAGTTAAGAACCGTTTATAAGAATGTTTTGTTAATACACAATAAAAAGTTTTATAAAAGAACAAGAAGCGTTTGTGTGGTGATCTGAAGAGGACAACGACCAGTCCTGACATTACGCTAGGAAAAATAATCACTAGAAAGCTGGGGGGTTGCCTCACTTAAAATGGCCACCGTAGATTGACCACGTGGTCAACTCAAGATGGCAGTAGTGCGCGTGGCTGTAGCCTAGGCAACCCTCAACACTTTATCCACCACAGAGGCTTTCGAATAAAATCCGCCTGTAAAAGCAATAGAGAGAACCCCAACGGCAGAAAGCAATTCAACACCGCATACACGTTCCCAGTTAGCCCCAAGGAGTGAGTTTTAGGCACACCGGAATAAACGGGGAAGCCCACGTGCCTCCGTAAGCTTAGTAACCAGAGCTGGCTGCACTCCTGAATGCGTAAAACCGCTTGCCGGCGAAGCCTTCCCGTTGGGCGAACTGATTAAATAAAGGGCAGCAAATGAACGTGCACGGCAAATAAAAGTACGCGCAGCAACGAGAAGCTCCCCCGCAACCCCCGATGAGAGCCAACGCCGCTTAAAGCTGGCTCGCTCCGAAGCGATCGCGACCGCCAGCCGCTCTCAAACCCCGGTAATTTCAAACCTCCCGTGAGCACCGCAGTGGCTCACTACCGTGGATCCGCTCCTAGATTCCTTGCTGCTGAATGGCGAGGTCAAAAGGGATGCCAGGGGGCACAACGACAAGGACCCAGTTAGCAGCTGCGGAGAGGAGACGCAGTGGAGGTTCGGGAGCTGCACGGCTGCGATGAGCTGACTGGCCAAGGTGCTGGTGATCCTCTGTAAAGCGTCGCGCTGTACGAGCGAAATAACCATGGCAACGTTAAAGCACCACATCAGGAAGCAAGCCGGAAGGCTCGTGAGCAACACTCCAAAAGAAGCCCAAACAGTTTTGAGGCGGAGAACTGGAGCACAGCGCACCGGGATGTGAAGCTGGACGGACTCGAGGCGAGCGCTGCAAGAAAACCTGCGAAAATACAAGACAAGATCACCCGCAAAAGCAAAAACAGCAAGAAAACGACCAACCCAGAGAGCCAGGAACAACAAACTGAATCTGCAGCTGGGACGAAAAGGGGAGATCCCGGGGCCGGCGTGAGCCTTAAATGACCCAGGCCAAGCCCCTGGCTGGCTCTGGTGCTGACGCGGCCCGAGGATTCCCCTGGTCGCGCGGGGCTGCAGCCAGCCCCGCACGATTGTTGGGGGCGTGAGCCCGCAACACCACCTCCTCCTTATGCCGGAAGTGGCTTTGCGGAGCACAGATCCTCATAGATCCTCAGGGCTTATGCACTGGCGTACCCCTAATTCACCGTCAAATCACGCATTAAGTCCAGTGGCACAACCGGCACCACAAAAAGCACGGATTCAAGGCTTTCTGGCCATGCCATGGCCCCAAACTTGGTTTTGAAGCACAGATCCTCATTGATCCTCATGCTTTTTGCATTGGGCCACCCCTAACTTACTGTCAAATCACACATCATAGCCAGGGGCACAGACTGCACCTCAAAAAAGTAGGATCCAAGGCTTCCTGACCACTCCATGGCCCATAAACATGGTTCTGAAGTACAGATCCTCATGGACCCTCACACCTTTTGCACTGGGCCAACCCAAACTCACCGTCAAATCACACATTAAGTCCAGGGGCACAGCCTGCACATCAGAAAACTCGGATCCACGGCTTCCTGGCCACTCCATGGCCCCAAAATCATGGTTTCAAAGCACGGATCCTCGTGGATCCTCAGGAGTTTTGTATTGGGGTACCCCTAACTCACCGTCAAATCACACATCATAGAAAAGGGCACATCCTGCACCACCAAAAGCACAGATGCTTGGCTTCCTGGCAACTTCATGGCTCCAAAACGTGGTTCCGAAGCACGGATCCTCATGGATCCTCACGCTTTTTGCACTGGACCAACCCAAACTCAGCATCAAATCACACATCATATCCGGGGCAGAGGCTGCACACAAAAAACCCTAGGATCCATGGATTCCTGGCTATACCGAGGCCCAAAAACGTGGCTGCGAAGCACAGATCCTCATAGATCCTCAGAGTTTATGCATTGGGGTACCCCCTAACTCACCGTCAAATCACACATTAAGTACAGTGGCACAGGCTGCACCTCAAAAAACTAGGATTCAAGGCTTTCTGGCCATACCATGGCCCCAAAACGTGGTTTCGAAGCACGGATCCTCATGGATCGTAATGCTTTTTGCATTGAGCCAACCAAAATTCACTGTCAAATCACACATCATAGCCAGGGGCACAGACTGCACTTCAAAAAACTCGGATCCACGGATTCCTGGCATACCATGGCCCATAAACATGGTTCTGAAGTACGGATCCTCATGGATCCTCACACCTGTTGCATTGAGCCAACCCAAACTCACCGTCAAATCACACGTCAAACCCAGGGGCACAGGCTGCCCCTCAAAAAACTCGGATCAACGGCTTCCTGGCCACTCCATGGCCCAAAAATGTGGTTCTGAAGCAGGGATCCTGATGGAGCCTCACGCTTTTTGCATTGGACCATCCCAAACTCATTGTGAAATCACACATCAAGTCCAGGGGCACAGCATACCGTGGTGCAAAAACATGGTCCCAAAGCACAAATCCTAATGGCTCCTCACGCTTTTTGCATTGGGCCAACCCAAACTCACCGTCAAATTACACATCAAGTCTAGGAGCACAGACTGCACCTCAAAAAAGTAGTATCCAAGGCTTCCTGACCACTCCATAGCCCAAAAACATGGTTTCGAAGAATGGATCCTCATGGATCCTCACACTTTTTGCATTTGGCCACCCCTGAATCACTGTCAAATCATACATCATGTCCAGGGGTACCGCCTGCAGCACAAAAAACTAGGCTCCACGGCTTCCTGTTCATACCATAGCCCAAAAATGTGGTTTCGAAGCACGAATCCTCATGGATCCTCACACTTTTTGTATTGAGGCAACCCAAACTCACTGTCAAAGCACACAGCATGTCCAGGGGCACAGTCTGCACCACAAAAAAACTCGGATCCATGGCTTTCAGGCCATTCCATGGCCCAAAACGTGGTTCTGAAGCACGGATCCTCATGGATCCTAACGCTTTTTGTCATTGGGACACCCCAACTCACCGTCAAATCGCACATCAAGTCTAGGGGCACAGCATGCACCTCAAAAATCTCGGATCCACGGCTTCCTGGGTACTCTATGGCCCAAAACGTGATACTGAAACACAGATTCTCATGGATCCTCACGCCTTTTTGCATTGGGCCAACCCAAACTCACCGTCAAATCACACATCATCGCCAGGGGCACAGCCTTTATCTGAACAATCTAGTATCCACGGCTTCCTGGCCATACCAGGGCCCAAAAACATGGTTGCGAAGCACAGATCCTCATGGATCCTCATGCATTTTGCATTTAACAACCCCAAACTCATTGTGAAATCACACATCATAGCCAGGGGCACGGCCTTTATCTCAACAAACCAGTATCCACGGCTTCCTGGCCATACCGTGGCGCAAAAACGTGGTCCCAGAGCACAAATCCTAATGGATCCTCATGCTTTTTTCATTGGACCAACCCAAACTCACTGTCAAATCACACATCATCGCCAGGGGCACAGCCTTTATCTCAACAAACTAGGATCCACAGCTTCCTGGCTGTACCGTGGCCCAAAAACGTGGTTGCGAAGCACGGATCCTCATGCATACTCACGCTTCTTGTACTGGGCCACTGGGCCAACCTAAACTCACTGTCAAATCACACATTATGTCCAGGGGCACAGCCTGCACCACAAAAAACAAGAATCCATGGCTTCCTGGCCAGTCCATGATCCAAAAATGTGATTTCAAAGCTCGGGTCCTCATGGATTCTCTTTTTTTTTGCATTGGGCCATCCCTAACTCACCGTCAAATAATTCATTAAATCCAAGGGCACAGGCTGCACCACAAAAAACTCGGATCCACTGATTTCAGGCCATACCATGGCCCAAAACGTGGTTCTAAAGCATGGATCCTGATGCTTTTTGTAATTGGGCCACCCCAACTCACCGTCAAATCACACATCAAGTCCAGGGGCACAGCCTGCACCTCAAAAATCTCGGATCCACGGCTTCCTGGCCACTCCATGGCCCAAAAATGTGGCTACGAAGCATGGATCCTCATGCTTTTTGCATTGGGCCACCCCTAATTCACCGTCAAATCAAACTTCATCACCAGGGGCACAGCCTTTATCTCAACAAACTGGGATCCACGGCTTCCTGGCTATACCGTAGCCCAAAAACGTGGTTTCAAAGCACGGATCCTCATGGATCCTCGCGATTTTTGCATTGGGCCACCCCAAACTCAGCGTCAAATCACACATCATAGCCAGGGGCACAGCCTGCACCACAAAAAACTAGGATCCACGGCTTCCTGGCCATAGCATGTCCCAAAATGTGGTTCTGAAGCACAAATCCTCATGGATCCTCACTCTTTTTGCATTGGGCGAACCCCAACTCACTGTCAAATTACACATCATAGCCATGGGTCCTCACACTTTTTGCATTGAGCCACCCCAAACTCACCGTCAAATCACACATCATAGCTAGGGGCACAGCCTGCACCACAAAAATCATGAGTTGCACTAGAAAAATCATAAAAATGCCCTTACCAGCACTGTTAATGTCACCACATTATTATTAGAGCCGAGAGGAGAATCTACGACTATAGATTGTACCAAGATATGGTTCATCTTCAAGAACATATCATCATCATCATCATCATTTTTATTCGACCGTCAGTCAGAAAAAAGTACATTTTAAAGAACATATCAAATACATGCTGAAGTATTAAAGAGGAGATAAAATATGAAACTACTTACATACTGTCAACTAATATCCAGATTCAAGAAAGACTGGATGGCAAACAGTTAAATCAGTGAAAAGACAGAATTTGAGTCCATCATAACAGAGTTCTACCTTTTGGGTAAAATTTATAAGCTATTACTCAAATATGACACCGAGCCCAAACAAGCAAAACCTTGTACGAGAAAATGGATGCAAAAATTTTAAGAGCAGTTTATAGTGGAACAATGAGAACAATTAT